CCCCCCCCCCCCCCCCCCCTCATCCCCTCACCCCCCCGAAAATTGAAATGAACGATCACCACAATAACTTTAGAACGCTGAAGCCAGAATCTAAGATCCCGTTAGCTCTTTCTTGCACGAACATTTCAGGAAGAAAAAATAAGATACATTTATTTGACATGAATGAACACAATTACCACGATCATCAATAAATTTTTTGCATGTTACCACTCATTCTGATGTAAAAAAAAAAAAATTCTGATGTGAAAAAAAAGTGATATATTAATTGTACCACCATGCTTCAATATATTTCAAGATGATGGTACGATTTTTGTACCATGAGAAAGTTAATCGTCGCATTTTCCATGGAAGCCGGTCGGTGGATTGAGAGGGCAACTACGTCGGCGTCGGCCCCTCACTGCCATCTTTCGGAGTCCTTTGGCACTAAGTACTTTCCGGTGCGTCGTACAGATGTCTCACTTGTCGCGATCGCAGTGGACGCGGCTGGATGACGATTCCGCGTTTCGGGGAGTGGCGGTCACTTGTGCGGACCCGTTCCGCTGCGGGCGTTCGCGGTGGCGTGGATGAGGGAGTCTTCGATGAGGGTGTCGATGAGGATGTCGTCGATGAGGGAGTGAAGGGGTCGATGTGGGACGGTCGGTGTGGTTATCGTGACGATCCGCTCGGCGACGGCGAAACCGCAGACGGAACGCACGAGTCCCATCTGCTATTTTGCGGGGAAGAGTTGGAAAGCTTTAAAAACCCGCCAGTTAGAGGGTCTCTCGTCGAGGTGTGAAGGGATTGAGGGGGGGGGCTTTACCCCTTTGACCCCCTTGTTCGACGCCTGTGACAGGCGTTCAGGTCTCGGATCGTCGACATTTTCTTCGAAATGGTTCCGACCGTCGACTCCATCCGCGAATTAAGGGGGGAAAAAAACTCGCAAAAAGAATAAAGAGGGAAAGTGGGTTGAAAGGCTCGGAATTCACGGCACGGAGACTCTAGATTCCCACATTGTCTATGGAACCGAAGAGGAAAAGCGGTCGGTCGGTTCGACACCATTAAGGGACACCGAGAATCGATACCGAGACCTGATACTCGTGGACGACCAGATGGAGAGGAGGGGCGAGAGGGGCATTTGAGGGTTGAGGGGGGGGCAATGGGGGCAATAGAGGGTCGAGGGGGGCAACGGGGGACGATGGGCGGCTGCGTATCTCGGGCTGAGAAATGATTGTTTCAGTTTCTCGATTTTCCATCGCGTCAGGGTCGGCGAAGTCCACAGAATCGACACGACAGTCCGTCGGTCGGTCGGTCGGAGGGAGGGGGGGGGGGCGTCTGCCAACGCATCGGCACGGAACGGAGCATCACGATTCTTGAAGCTGGAGCACCTTGAATAAACAAGGAAACGGAGTTGGTCTTGGAAGCCAGCCAATCGTGCAGGGTGGATTCTTTCGGTTGCAGTACTTCTATTTTCATGCTGCTCGACGACGAACAAAAGACATCATAGAATGCAAATTCATGCAAATTTTTTTTTTCTTTTTTTATAGACCTGCTGTGTCAGAAAGAATTACAATCAGATTTTCCAGTCAGACAAAGGCGCCATTTATGCGAGACACAATCGTGACCGGTCACGACGAACGAGGAAGGAGAAAGTGACCGGTTTCGAGAAGACCGGAAAGGAGAAAAAGATAGTTCCCATGCCGGGAATCGAACCCGGGCCTCCTGGGTGAAAGCCAGGTATCCTAGCCACTAGACCACATGGGAGCGCTGAGAACTTCAGCGGAAGAGGGGAGATGTAAAGCTGAGCAGCCCTCCTGTCACGCATAGCACATGCGCAGTCCAACTGTTCGAAGTCCCGGCGCGGAACGAGATGGATGACATCCAGGCCATCCCGCCTTCCCCCTCACGGTCCTCGGTAGTATAGTGGTGAGTATCCCCGCCTGTCACGCGGGAGACCGGGGTTCGATTCCCCGCCGGGGAGGAATTCTTTTTTTCCTCCTCACTTACTTCCATCGTCTTTCGATACGCGAGCTCCTGTCCCAATGTTTCGTCACGGAGGCAACAGAAGGTAGCATCGTCGCGATAGAGCCTTATCGACTGTCGATGACTTCCGTTGAATCGAATCGGGAGTTCGATTCAACAGGAATTCATCGAACTCCCGTTCGATTCATCGGAACCGCTGCAACTAAAAACAGCCGCGTTTAAATGTCCGCTTCCGAATCCGCGTTGGGATTATCCCGGATTTTATCTTTCCGACGAGAAATTCCCCAGCTGGGTCATCCCTCATCGCCGATTCATCACTGATGATCGAGTAATGAGATGAGCTCAGGCGAAGGTTTGACCCGTCAGCGAGAATCGATTTAACCGAGACCTCGTTATCGCCGGAGCTGCAAGTACTGGGGAGTACCGCATCGGCACCCCGCGTTTCGGCGTTCCGTTCGGTAGAGCCCTGCCCGGGCGCTGCATCTCGGTCATCGCCGCAGAGTCCCTGGATCGATATAGCCTCCTTCGGAGACCGAGGCGCAGTTCCTTCAATGCTTTTTCTATGATCGCACTCGAAAGCGGGGAAAACTGGAAGTGTCGGTCCACTCAGGTCTCTAATGGGGGAGCAGCTTCTACACGGGATGAGGTGATAGAGCCCTGCACCGTGTCGTTGCGTCTTTCAGCCAGAGGCATGTTTCTCCCCCAGATAACGACTTTGAATTACCAATTAACATATTCATATATTTTTAAAAGTTTCATTATCTTCATGGAAGTTCGTCGTAAATTCGACGAAAGGGCATCGACGTCACTGGAGGGAGTTTGCATACAACGCTTGCCCCCACTCGAAGGGGGGAGGGTAGGGGGGCCAGGATTCTCCGTGGCCGGACGGCGGCCTTGGTGAGTGCAGGCTCGGTGCATCCCGAGGGGATCTGTCCTTGGCCCGAGCCTTCGGGGTGCAGGGCTCTATTCGCTTGTGCGAATCGCGGAGAAATGTCGTGGCTGATCGTCGTCCCGTTTTTTTTGCAACAGATGAGGGAATTTTTCGGAAACGGGCGACAGACTTTCCCGCAATTTTCTTTCAGCTCAGATTTCCGCATGTCTTCTTCACACCTGCTCGAAGGGTGGAACCCTGAAAATGAGGAAACCTGGGAGGGTGGCACCCTGGAAGGGAGGAACCCCGCCACCACCTGGCATCGGCGAGCCGCTTCCTCTCCCCCCGCGCACCGCGCGAAGCCTTACCCAACCCAAAGCGAAAAAAAATTCGAGATTTCCGGATCGTGCGACGCATCGCCACGAACTCCCTGTCGCCGTGAAGGGACGCGACACAAAGACGAATCGCCCTCGGGCATTTCGGCCCGAACGGCGTCCGCCTCAAATCGCATCACGGGAGTTCCGATTTCCCGTTCGCGGTCCGGAAAAAAAAAGCTCCCCGGAGCGTTACCTTCCATGCATCAATTCTCGATTAACTCTCTTAATTATTTCCTCGTTCTCCTGCCGCATCTTCACCGGTATCGAACCGAGTTAAATGAAAAATAAAATCAGTGCACGAAAAATCGTTTGACGACCCCCACGTGCAGGACTCGACAGCGTGCACGTCTCGTCTCCCTTCCCCAAAGGGGCGGGAGGGGCAAATAGGGGGTAGAGGGGGGGCGGGGGGTCCCCCCTCTTCCGAGCGGAACGAATACTCCCCGCTTTCCTCAACTGCGCAGTTGCCATCCATTCAACGTCCCCCCCCTTTTTTTTTTCTCTCTCTCTCTCCGTCCCTCGTTAGACGGTCCCCCATTGAAAGACCCAATCGCGCCGCATTCTCAAATTTATTCATTTTTTTCTCAACTCTTTCAAGACCTCGGCATAATAATTTGAACAAAGATCGACGAAACACACCCACCCACACACTCACTCACTCACACGGTCACGAATCCTCCTCGTCCCCCTCGTCGCTCGACTCGGACGACCCCGACGACGAACACGTGGAGCACGACGACGACCCCGACGACGACGAATCACTGTCCGAGTCCAACGACGTGTCCACCCCCGCCCCCTTCCCCGCCTCCCCCTCCTCCAGCGCCCTGTTCTCCCTCTGCAGCTCCAGCAGATCCTCCTGCAACCTCGCGATGAGCCTCTCCGGATGCAACCTCAACTCCGACAGCAGATCCGACTCCCTCTTCCTCAGCTCCGTCGCCTTCTCCACCAGCAGGTCCCTCGGCAGCTGCAGCCACTCCTCCCCCTTCACCCTCGCGTATTCCACTTCGAAGTCCTCCCGGAGGAAATTCCAGAACCCGTTGGACGTCTCCTCCGGCGGCGGCGGCGACTGCATCGCCGTCTCGAAGTTCCAGAACAGCGACGAACTCTCGTGGTCGTCCATGATGAACTGCGTCGAGTTCTCCGGCGCCTTCGGCAGCGCCGGCCTCAATATCACCTGCCGCTTCTTCGGCGACGGCGGCGGCGGCGGTGGCGACGGCGTCCGCGGCGGCGGCGGCGACGGGCTCCCCTTCCCCTCCCCCTGCGACCTCAACGACCGTCTGCTCTTCTTCCGCCGATGCTTCTTCCGGTACGGGAACCCGGTACTCCCCGTGCTATTGTGCCGCTGCCGGAACAGGCGTTCGTCCGGGTCCAGGCCCTCCTGGTGGGCCGGCGAGGACACCAACAGCATGCTGGCCATCCTCTGCGTTCTGCAAATACACAAGCGACTCATCGCACCGATTCGTACGCGTTACGAATCCCTCCCCACCCTCGGAAAAAGAAACTTGGGGCAAACCCGTGAAGACCGGATGAGCAACTGGGGAAAGCCTCGTGATTAATTATGCAGTGCGACGGGTTGCGTGCATCAGTTCGGTTCCATCTGCAATCACATTACCCCGAAAAGAGACGAGACCATCTACACTCGGTGGGAAACCCGACAACCGCGGTATTTCGAGCATATTCTCCCGGGCCTCTCTTTCCAGCATTGCAAATAAATTGCTAATTTAATTACTAGGCCTTTCAGCGGAAAAAAAGTGGCTCGGGACGACGGCGCAATCCGAATTCGAAACAGGTTCTCGCTGACCCAATTCGTTCCTGCAGCCAAGGCGCCTCACTTGTGCATTGTACAAGTGCCCATCAAGGACGCCGAGGCTCCCCCCCTCCCCTCCCCTCCCCCCCCCGAAAGGGAGAACCAAAACGTTTGGATGCGTGGAGCGAACGTGCGGAGAACGAAACCACTCGTAAGAGAATCGTGTGGAGCGCGGCAACGTTGCATCGAGCGCCCTCTATGCGATCCATTCGACGTGGCAACGCAGCCTCAAAGACGCTCGCCCCCGTCCCATCACGAAAAAGCTCGATTTTCCCTCCACAGACCCCCTAACTCGGCCTAAAAACCAGAGAAATGAGTCGGAAAGACCTCTTACCTGCGAAATCGGGGGAGACCGCGCGCTAAACCAGGCTAGGAAGCGAGGATCACTGATTAGAATAGAGGAGCTTGCTCGTCCTGACTGGGACGATGGAAAGATGGAACTGAAACGAAGGCAGCGCTGCTTCCATCTTTTGTTCCTCGCCCGAAATTCTCCCTCATTCCCCGATTGGGTCGTTGGGAAACCAAGATGGCGGCGTACGGCGTTATCAGCAGTCTGGGACTCGACACGTCCCAACAGTCCCCAGGTGCCGATTCTGTAGCAGATGTCATGGAATGCGATTTGGACACTCGCACAAACCTTCACGACCAGGTCTGAATCATTTTGGAGCCTCATCTCACTGTTTCGTCTCGATGGTGCTTTGAGGGGGCATATCTAACTTTTCCTTTCCTTATGCTTTCATTCGTCTCGTTGCAGTTGAAGAATATCCAGAATATGATTCGAGTGACGAAGGAGAACGTTGACTTCTTGATTGCCAAGTTTGCTGGCCTTGAAGATCCACCTTCGTTGTATCTCCATGTATGTCACATTGACCTGCAGTTGGCATAGCCTTTGGTGGGCTAACGTTAAGTCTAAACATAAGGCCCAGGCCTACATTAGGATCCCAATGTTTTGGTGCTTCATTACGGCCTTTAGGAGCAATGCCAATGCCTAGGTTTGATATTTGAATGCAGGTAATCTATCCTTCCAATTGAATTCATGTTTCTGAAAATTTAAGGAATACCGTGAACTGACTGGGAAGCTCCACGATTTTGAATCGAAGGAGCAAGAACTGATGGAAAAGCTGAGTCTCTGTTCTTTGAGTGATGGAGAGAGAGACTCTCAGCCTTCTCTTAACCTTACAAATCAAGGTCAGTGTGATCAAGAGTTTCATTTTTGGTGTATATAAATTGTCTCCTTTGGCTACTAATGTGATACTATTGCAGCTTTGAATGAGGTCATGCAAGAAGATGGCTCTCCTCGACTTCCAAGATCGCCATTGAAGTCGTTCATCAGGGCCCACCTCCCAGATAAGCAGCGAACCTCGGTGCAGGTCAAGCCAGGCCAAACCCTTCGTGATGCCCTTCAAAAAGCCATGGAACGTAGGCAGCTCACACCTGAGCAATGTGATGTCTGGAGGTGTTCCAAACCTAAGGTTGGTGTGCAGGAAGATATTCTCTTGCACATGTTATGATGTATGTCAGGGGTGTCTAACTGGCAGCCTGTGGGTCAGATCTGACCCTTTAGTTCATTTTGTCCAGCCTGTGAAGCCCACTTCACTAGTTGGTTTTTGAAAAGTGCTGAGGTTTCAACCGGTTCACATTAACAATTTGGTGTAAGATTTGTAAGTGTGGCCCTCAATCACCTATGAAGGGTTCCATCCAGCCCCCAGCTTAATCTAGTTTGACACTCCTGATGTATATGATTTGAATTTCATTAGCAGAGTGCTTTTATGGTTTCTATTTAGGTTCCAGTACCTTGGGATGCAGACATTGCCTTGCTGGAAGGTGACGAAATCGAAGTAGAGGAGAGGAAGGAGACTTTCCCTATGCCATCTCTGCCTAGGACTCGGATCTCTCATAATTTTGTCAGTTCTCTCAGCTGAAAAAGAGTTGAGAAGCAGTGTGAATTTTATTGACCATTGCCAAAATATTCATCCAAACAGGTTCGAAAGACATGGTTCTCCCTGGCCTTCTGTGACAGCTGTCACAAGTTGCTATTTTCAGGCTTCACATGTCGAACATGTGGCTACAAGTTTCATCAGCGTTGTGCTGCCCATGTGCCTCCCCTCTGTACTGAGGTTCGAATCTCTCCCCCGAATGCAGATCTGACCCGACATCAAACGGAATACTTCAAGCGGTTAGAATGCTGTTCTTTCCATTTTTAGGCTCATTCATGTTGTGTGGTTCCAATTAAGGATGCACAGATCCAGGATTAGCTGATACCGATACCAATAACAATCCCAGTGTCATGGTATCAGCCAATACCAATACAGATAGCTCCCAGTTGCTGTCAGAAATGAAACCACAATACAAGACTAGACCTTAGTAGGCCTTATGCTACCTTTGGCATGGAATGTTAGAAATAAAAAATCCTCAAACACTAATGACCCAACATTTGAAGTTCCCGTCATTTATTTAGCTTTGGAGACATTACGTCAGCAATATATTATCTTCTTGAGTATAGGTCAAAACTTCCCCCGCCATTCACCAGGCCTGCCAAGAATACATCAGATGTAAGTACTATGTACAAAGGGCAATTGGTGTGAAGAGGAGTAGAGGTAGGAACTACATCTAATGTTCTTTATGCCCATTCCACTCGTACAATGCCCTTTTCAAATCTCTCTCATTCTGCTTTAGCCATGCTCAAGCTTATTGTCTATCAGTTGAAGATTAATAAGAACTATGATGGACATAAGGAACCAAATGCCATTACGAGTATGGTTTTTTTTGTGAGACGTTCCAAAAATTTACACTCAGTGCATCAAGTACAGCGTGGTAAGGGAGAATCAGATCAAATTGGCTGATACCGATCCTGACTGATCCACTTGGTATCAGAGCATCCCTAGTCCCAATTGGTTGCAAGGTTTTGTCCTGTGCATGTAGTTTACTTGCTGGGGCGGGTCCTGACAGTGCAGCTGGTGTTTTGCATACATCCTACAGACCAGGAGGATTAGTTGGCCCCTGGGGAACTGGCTATCATGGACCAATTTTTGTTGCTTCCCCACAGGTGTGTCCTCAAGTATACATTGACTCTTCAGAAATGCCTCAAAATGTTAGATACCTAAATTGCAGGCTTAATATCTTTTCTTGCAGCCCATGCCACGAACCCAGCCACCACCGATGGGTGTCAGAGAGAGGTCTACCTCTGCTCCAAATGTCAGTTACAATTCTGTGAATCCCAATGAGGCCTCCTTCGAAGAACTGTCTCGTGCAATGGCCCGATCTCATCCACACAGTCCTGGTGAATCCTGATCTTCAAGAACTCATGCATGCTATCTCTTTAGAATAAGCAAAAAATAGTTGTGATTGGAGTAATGCATGGTGTCATTGGTGTGAGAAGAGACATCTCAGTTTCTCCTAAGGCTTGCATACTTTAGTTACAATTTCTTTTCATGCACAAAAATTGCATTTTTCTGCACCACAAACTGACTCAATTGGCACTCCATTCTTTGCATCATATGGAGAGATTCACTGCATTCAGGGTTTCTGTACATCTTTTTTGTTGTCGTCTTGTGGATTCTTTGGATGTTTATGGATAGGTTTTTTATTTTGGGTGGAGGGATGCATGATTTATGCATGGGAATGGATGTATATACAGTGTGTACTCTTTCTAGAGGTAGTGTCTTCGACTCTTGCTCCTCCTTCTGTCAGAGAGGGTCCCCTTTCCTCTCGCCCTCTCTTCTTCTCTCCTCACCCACGCAGGCGGAAGGGCCAGCATGGAATCGTTCCTGGCCTCGCTCTAATGTCTCCCCGTAGGTTTGTCTTGACCATCCTGCAATTTGATTTTTTATCTTTAAAATCTGTGCAAGATGTAGTTTTTCTTGCATTTTTTAAATGCAAGAAAAACGGTTTTAACGGTTTAAACGGCAAAAAAAAACCTTTTTAAATCTGAAAATTAATAAAATAATGGCTGTAGCTCAGGAGAGATGCAAAATTGAATAGAACATGATGGCATCATTGGGTGTACCTAGGTCCCCTAATGGTCCCTGTCTCGGCAATGATGGGCATGAGTAGCTCAGCCGTGAGTGGAGGAAGTCCCGGTGGAAGTCCAACCAAACCATCAAGTGCAGGATATTCCCATGGTTCCTATGGCCATTCCCATACCAGCCAAAGTGCACAAGCTTCTCCCACCAACACCCTCAAGCCCTGGCGGCCTAGGGCACGTTCAGCCGATGATTCATCAAAGAAGGTAGGGTGTACTTGACCTCCTACTTTGGACTGTGTCACAGTGGTAGATATTGCAATATCTTCTGATTCGTTATGTTTTTTGTTACTTTCCTTTCTACAATGTTGGGTTTGCTTATTGATTGAGATTTTGATGCAGCTTTTTCTGTTAACATGTTTTTAAGTGTAACTTTTTCCTCTTTCCTGATATGGGAATACAGTCAGTAGATATGAAGATGTGACTACATTTCTTTGAAAATAACTACATAAGAGTATTACTAATGAGTCTACTAATGAGGTATTTAGGCCTATTTCCTTAGCTTTCAGTTCTAAGTTTAAGTTTCATTGCCTTATGCTTATTTGATGAGAATGTATAATCTCGTGTATGATGAAATTTCAATAGATATTGGCTGAAACTCATTGTAGTCCTCTAGTCACATATTATAATAGATGTAATCCTGTTTATGTTAAACCTTCCATTGCATGCAAACCATGCTCTGGTCATGTTTGATTCATTTTTGGTATTTAATGCCATTTCGTCCTCAAGCAGGTTCGAGGAGTACGGGAATCCATGGAAGACTGGGAGATTCCTGTCGATGAGATGCTGATAGGTCACCGTATTGGTTCAGGTTCCTTTGGAACTGTTTACCGTGGACATTGGCATGGGCCAGTTGCCATCAAGATGCTGAATGTCCCTGACCCTACACCAGCCCAATTGCAAGCTTTCAAGAATGAAGTTGCTGTATTGAGAAAAACACGGTAAGCTCATTGTTCTTTCCTCAACTCCATAAAAATTCCAAATTGGCAGCTTTATTCACAGAGTTAAATTGTTAACAGGCATGTGAACATCCTCCTGTTCATGGGATATGTATCAAAGCCCTCATTGGCAATTGTGACACAGTGGTGTGAGGGCTCCAGTCTCTACAAGCATCTTCATGTGGAAGACAGCAAGTTTGAAATGGTGACACTCATCGATATTGCTCGTCAGACTGCTCAAGGCGTCGAGTTAGTCCCTTCCTCCTTTGTAAAATAGGATTTCGTAGCAAACTTTTCCCCCTTTGTTATGGGTTATATTTACCAGTAGATACGTTATTATGCTATGTCATGGTGAAGCTTAGTGAAATTTCAGTATTTTGCATTATGATATGCATTATTGCAACTTATTTCAGCTTCACATTAAATGTGTACGCTGTATCAGTACACTGAGAAAACTAAGATAGCTTACAATGTTACAGTCAATGCTCAGAATGCCTGCTGTGCCAATTCTGAGAAATTCCAAGGTGTCAGTTGAAATTTCCTGCAAAACAGTTAAAGTAGTGATGTCCCAGAGTCATGAAAGCATGCTTATATTCCCGATTTAAATATTTTTAATGCCATGGCCTTGTTTTCTAAAAAAAAATTTTAACTTATTTTTTTGTTTAAAGAAAAAAGTAGAGGTGAAGTTAAAAATTAAAAAGGGAGTAATGCAGTGGGGAAAGAAGTTTCTAATATGAGCTTGTGGCAATGAAACATATGCCATCTACTTTTTGTGAATCAGATAGATGAATTACATGAGCAGTTTACAAGTTTCGATCAAAATCAGATTCAAATCCAAGTACTTTTCAAAAATGTTCTAGGTTTTTATGTGTAGCTATCTACTGTAGTAAGTGGTTGAATAAACAGGCAACTGGATCATGAAATCAGCTATTAAAAAAGTATCTACAAATGCCTATTGATTAGCAAATTATAATTGATGGAGAACAACTAGCATATGTGACTTCAGCACAATATTGTGGTGTTGGGCTAGATGATTGAATAAACTGGAAACCAAAGAAGCATAAAAAGTTGCACTTGGCAATGACATTTTATTCTGAATTGGGGATTTTATTTATAAATGTATTAAATGGCAATTATTGCAATGCTATAATCTCGTTTTAGTGACTGTTTGCCAATTTGGAGCCAGTTTGGAGCGCTGCTGTCAAAACTTGCAACAGAAAATGTGAAAATCCCACTGAACAAAGCCATGCAATTTTCTGAATTACTTGCCAAATAGAACAATTCCAGATCAGTATTACTCATTCTGGAGAATACTGATTCTCCATCAGCCAATAACTTTTCTCTTTGCCTACTTGCATACCAGGAACTTAAGAGTAATTTATGGAAATTATAATCCTGCTTCATAACATATGCTACACAGTTTGCTTTTAATCACAACTTAACCTTACTGCAATAAAAAAAAAATGTTGGTCCACTATTGTTGTAACTCTATCACAGCAGATATGAAAATTCCCACTAACTTTGAAGAATTCTATCCCAGCAGATGTTAAATACTTTTCCTCTGAACAAAATTTCAAGATTCAGGGTGATCTTTTAAACATACCATTTGAATATGCTATAACTGTCATATCCATAGAGCTAGGAATGGGAAGCTTGGCAGCAGCCTCTAGCAATTGTGGAAAATTTATTCTCACTGGGGTACAGGTTGCAACATGGAGATGTTCAGAGTGTCTTTATTGTTTCTAGCAAAGTGGAAATTCAATGCTTACTGTGCAACATAAGTTTCATAATGAATATGAGACATGGAAGGAAACTGTTCTTAGGCTGAGGAGCTACATGAATCCATGTTGTCATTGTCTGTGGGGTTAGTTTAAGGATAGAGTGTTTGAATGTAACCAATTGATAAGGAGGAGGACATAAGGAACATATCATTTATTGAGTCATCAATTTCCCTCATTTGCTTCTGGCTATTGTCAAGTTTCCCATTCTTAGCTTCAACAACACATCAGTTATGCTACTTTCAAGTGGTGCAATGTTTGAAAAGTCAGCCTGTGCATCTGAAATTTTATTGATGTCAGCAACAAATACTCAATCTGAAGTGACTTGTGGTGGACCTTCAGGTTCTTTGAGGAACCCACAAACATATGTCCTGCTTGTCTTCTTTCTGTTTCTTTCCATGCTTCAGGCCTTTTTTAAATATTTATTTACCTAGGCCCAAGCTTATGTCATTCAAAATGCTGAAATCTTAGAATCAGTAAGGAAATCAAGGGTGTCATCATCAACATTATCATATTTTAGTATGATTTTGAGATTATGGATGAATATGCCAAAATAAATGTAAATGTCACAATTCATATTTTATTAAGCAGAATGGGTCTTGATTGTTATGATGTAACTCTTGAGGGTTTTGAATAGCATCCTTATGTCTTTGAATGCTAGTAAATGTCATGAGGGAATTAGAAGCAAATTTGGATTTATATATAAATTTTTTCACTTCAGTTACCTTCATGCAAAGAACATCATTCATCGGGACTTGAAGAGTAACAACATCTTCTTAACTGATGACTTCACTGTGAAAATTGGTGATTTTGGACTGGCAACAGTCAAGACTCGGTGGTCAGGATCTCATCAGTTTCAACAACCCACAGGTTTGGTTTTTCTGTTCACAATGTGTATACATGATCATCCCCTGGTTCTGGGTAATTTCATTTGTGCTTCTTCTGTCCAGGCTCCATTCTGTGGATGGCACCTGAGGTGATCAGAATGACTGATTCAAATCCGTATAGCTACCAGTCTGATGTGTATGCATTTGGTATTGTTCTTTTTGAACTCTTCTCTGGTGCGTTGCCCTACACCCAAGTAAATAACAAGGATCAGGTATGTACTCTTTTCATTTTAATTTCATACCATTTGTGCTCTTTAACTCTGGCTGTTCTCGTTCCTGCAGATCCTTTTCATGGTTGGCCGAGGATTTCTGAGGCCAGACCTATCTCGCCTCAAGTCAGAAACGCCCAAAGGTCTGAGACGCCTCCTCTCAGACTGCATCAAGTATAACAAAGATGAGAGGCCTCTATTTCCTCAGGTTTGCTTCCTTCTCCCAATTTACCCTTCTACTCTCAGCTTTGAAGTTAATTGTGCATTCTTGTCTCCCCCCAACTGCAGATCTTGGCTTCACTTGAGACGCTGATGAGATCACTACCTAAGATTCACCGGTCAGCATCTGAACCAACTCTGACAAGGACACATTTTCAAAATGAGGACTTCCTCTATGTCTGTCCCTCACCTAAGACACCAATCAACTCACAGTTTGATGCTTTTCCCATGTTCACCTCGAGCTCTCAGCCTCCTATACCAGTCTGATCCATCTCATCCTCTTTGGCCAAGTATCTGTGATTCTTTCCTTGTGATAGACATGAGTATGGGGAAAGCGAGACAGTGACTTGTAGGTTGTTAAAGAGGCAAAAATGTGTAGTACTGAGAGGAGCAACACACCTGTCATCTGCCCCGCCCCATGTTCCATCTCGTCCAGTCTCTGGTTACCCCTATTTTAGTGATTCATAAGGGGGTATAGAGGGACTATTCTTTCTGTTGACTTTTATTTGTTTTTCCTGTGATCAGTGACTTTTTCATCTCCCTCATTGCACAGCCCAGGATGTGGTTCTGCATTGGGGTGATGAAGTTCTATCTCCACATCATAGAATTAGGAGCTCTCATAATGCAGTTAGCTTCCAGCAGTGAAATTCATTTCTCTTCCATGCTGGAATGCCTGGTCCTTCGTGTCTGTGAATGATGAGAGGTGTAAAAAAGTAATGCCAAACATCTTCATTGTCAGATGCACAAAAAGCTAATTTTACACAACTAAAATCTTACTTTGCACACAAAAATTGATATAATTCCTTGATGAAAGCCCTTGATAGATGGCACACTGATGAGGAAGAAAAGCTGATTATTATATGAAATGACATTGAAATCAGTGGTATCAAATTGAAATCATTGCATACTAATGGGAATGGCTGGTTCTTCACAATTGAAAGAAAATTGTACTTGACTTGCAGCTGAGGACAATAGTCCTCTTTCTACTTGGAGGAATGAGTTGTATATTGCACATGGAACTCTGGCAATGAGGCTATGAGAATCAGACTCGGCTTCAGTCTTCATCAGATAAAATTGCATTCTCAAGTGTCTGGTTCATAAGTGCCTGGCGGAGTAAAGAGGAAGTCTTCTGGGTTCTCTTTTCCATCTGCTTGATCAGGTGGTAGAATTTCCCAGGTGATTCTTGGGCTAAGGAAGAATTACTGCTGTAGTCAATGTCTTTTCTTCTCTCCCGTAAGTTGTACCTCTGACACGGAGTGCTCTGCAATGGAAATAAAACTTGGTGAATGAAAATCCAAAGCTTTCTAACTACTAGAATATCACCTGAAACTCTCACTTTTGGTGTCTGCTTGAGTCTTCTTGGGCTCTTGCTGACTACTGAGATATCTGGATGGTCAGCTTCATCTTTCTCCTCTGGCATGGATGAGTTTGCTTTTATGCTAGACAATTCCTCTGCATCAATTTCACTTATGTAAGATGCATCATCAGAATCATTGTCATCTTTCCAGCCAATGGCTGCAGGATAATACGTTAGGTCGGACTCTGCTTCTGAGTCGTCCGAATCTGAATCCAGATCTCTTGAGTCATCTGAGACAAAAACATTACCATCTTCAAAAACAGTTACCAGAAGAATAAACAACAAATAACATGCAGCATGCAGGCTCCAGTGGGAGAAAGAAGGGGAAAAAGTCCCATACCTGTACCACATACTGCATCAGTCCAGTCTCTATTTGCTTGCTGTCTAAATGCTGCCCCATGCTCAACTGGCTTTGCAGTCACTAATGAAACTACGTCAGAAACCCCAAAGACACTGCACCACATATATACCCCAGAATATAATTATTCTTTGAAGTTTCGAGATATTTCAACTCACTGTAAGAAGAGAGGTGCTTTTTGATCTCCTCATTTTGCTTGTAAAGCTCACGGATAAGCTGATGATTAACTGCATTTAGGTCCTTGAACTTGTATGCCAAGGTGCCAAGGACAACACTGCATACTGTAAGCATTGCCTTCCGTAGCAGCCACACCCGGTAGTGACGAGAATCCTAAAATGAAGGTAAATGTATTTATAATCCATGAATTTGTCAAAATATTAAGACCAATAACCTCTGAGACATTTTGAAAAGTACTTAATTCACTGAAGCACTCACTGAAACCATTTGAGCATCCAAACCCATGTCTCCTCCCCTCTCAATGATATATGAAGACAAGGAGAGTTCAAGGAAGGCATTGCCAGTCAATATGAGGTAGAGCCAAAAGCGAGCTGCTGCTGTGCGTGGAGTAGAGGTGAGGAAAAAGCAAAGGACAAAAGCTGTGATGTAATACACAATTGTGGAAAATGTGGAGACTTCCCCAAGGACAAAGTTCTGGAGCTTGGTCAGACGATCCAAGAGTGATAGAACAATGCTGCGCTGCTCATCTGATGTCTGCCTGTAAGAAATACACAATTGACCCAAGACAAGGTGATGGTATCTGTTGTGAATACACATTTGTCAAAGACCGATCATGGATAGAGCACACCACCTGAATTCCTTGAATCCGATAACAAACATCTGCATGTGCTGCTGCATTCTTTCCTCCTCTTCATGGAGTTTAGACAAGGACTGAAAGGCTTCTTTCTGCTTGTTCAGCAGCTCCCCTTGGAGTTCATTTGACTGTTTCAGTCGTTCATTTGTCTCTGAGACCCGGTGACTCACCTCTGCTGATGTCAGTGACAGCCTGATGTTGAATAAATGATTCTGTTTACAACAATGATTCTGTTGCAGACATGTCTCTCAGATCTAGTTCCTTGATGTCATTGTCTCACCGAGATATTACGTCTTCTGTCATTGTCTGCCACTTCTGGCTCTGCAAGAATTGACAGAGGCTCCTAGTGTGAGTGAAGAAATTGTTGAATGTAGCATATGCCTTGTCGCTCATGTGTTGGGTGCAATCACGAATTTCTTGATCATCCTCACATGGATACACAATCTGTCCAGTCTTCAGCAGGAAGCAGTTGGCAAACTTGAGAGCCACCCGACTCTGAGATTCGTCGGTGAGAGTCCGGCAGCCTTCATGGAGGTACTCGATGGCTTCCAACCAACAAGCCCCATATCGAGGGTATTTCGTCTCTTCTATCAGAGACGTATACTCTCTCCTTCCTTCCTCGACGGCTAGTTCATCGAGTTTGTGATCGAGTTGCGCTACTGATTCAGTGAAGAATGGGCCCAGCCCTGCCAGCAGTAAAACCATCGCGGGACACTTCAGGTGGGGCCCCATATTCGGGTGAATGGGTCAAGCAACGTTAAGGGCCATGCCAACGTGAGCTCTAAAAACTGAAAGACCCTATTCGGAGTCTGAGGTCGAATGAAGTTCGGTTTTCCCGTGTAGTTTTCTCCTCCACGACACCTCATTCACTCGTTTTCGCTTCTAGTACATCTTCTGGAAAAGTAAGTCATGTTGACCTGGAGAGAGATGTCACGAAAGGGTCAACATTAGACGACCAGAAATCAAAGAAGTACGTAAAACTGACGCATTCCATTCGAAAGAGCTGCGTCATGGGGACCACCATACTTCTGTGCTGCATCGTGCGTTGTTCCATACATCGTCCAGTATACGGACTGGTTCTTCGAAAAAATGAAATGAAATAAAAACAATTCTTCTTCTTGAGGGGCGGGAAATGGTAGCAATGGAAATATCATAAAATCTTGAAAGATTGTTGCACAAGTTGCATGGCACTAGCATGTCGAGGAAGTGGAGTACCCAGCACCCCTGCTAACATTGCTGGAGGAAGCTCCGCCCTTCACCCCGCCCTCTTATATTCGCGTCTCTGCAGCGTTGTTGTTCCCTGGTGGAGGCTTTCGGCTTATCGTACTGAGTTCACCCTCCCATTTCTTAACGTCATCGTTTGATCGTTTGACCCACCGTTGAGCTTCGTGTTTCCTTCGTTTCACAATTCAGTTCTTTCCGCGTTCATCAGTACCCTACGCAAAAAGAAGGTAGTTTCTTTGGAGAAGAGGTCGCCCTAGGCCTTGCATCCGAGCATAATGTTCGGCCTTGGGCTAGTCTTATGCCATAAGCTTTAGTGTCTCAACGTTCCAGTGAATTAGGAAACCGTATTCCTAATATTAGGAACTTAAACGTACGTTTTCAGGCTGAATTCGTTCTTTTGGGGGCTTTGAGGGCAAGGTCTGCAATATGGTAAAACGTAGAATGCAGCGTTTTCCAATCTGACAGGTTGTGATTACACAATTGCAAGTAGAACTTAAGATGATGGTGATGTGGACTCTACCGCAACTTGCTTAACTCAATTATGATCTTTTCCATTGGCCATCTCTAGATGCACCTAAATCACATTTAGACATCCCAAAGAGTTGGCAAAAGGTATGCATGCTAACTTAAGTCATTAGTGTAGGCCTAGTGATTCGACGTCTGCCAATGGGCTTGGACTCCAAAAGCCTCAATCATGGCTTGCTTATGAACCAGTACTAAGAAATAGCTAAGCAGCTGCATCCTATATTTTCCCTTGTCATGAGTGACTCCCATAACTGCCCGTTCCTTTTTTTTTTTTTTTTTTTTTAAGTATACCATTGCAACATCTTAACCTCTCAAAATTCAATTGAAATGATTAAATGCAAAGCTGGAAGTCATCTTGGGAAGCTCTACTGTGCCTACTTAATCTCGCATATGGTCTGTGACTGCAGCAGGAAAACCTTTCAATCTTGGAAGCTGGAACAGGATAATGACTTATTTATTCCTTTATTAGCACAGACTAAGTGAATTGCATTCCTTGACATTTGGCAAACAGCCTCTGTCTGATAAATGCACATGCGTATATTGCCATGCTCCACTGGGGCTGCCTAGGCTATGTGATGCTCATATGTCCACTTCAATGCTAGTGTATATAGCATATACTCCTATACCATGTACACAGCTATGTTCTCAATGTATACAAGAACTAGGGGATGTGTAATATTCATTTTAATATGAGAAACATCAGTAAGGGTTGCAAGAAAATGTATAATGCCTGTAGAGCCTTCCCCCCTTTATTCTTGACGATTTTCACAGTGGAGAAGTACTTCTGTGCTAATCTATAATTACTTGGAGTCTTATTTCTCTTCTGAGGGAGGGAATGGGACTTCTGGGTGGGAAAGGGGAAGTGGGACCCCATGCTTAAATTTACCTGAAAGGCAAAAAATATCAAATAAATATTGTATTGGCAGATTGAACAGAATCCATATGGAAAAAGTCATACATGATTTTATGGGAAATGGGCATATATGATATATGGGACATATATGGGAAAATATATCAGATTATATATTTTTATTGAAACAATGAGTATTATCATACATGGCAAGGCCATATAAGAATTTTATAAAAACCACTTAGGTAAAAGATATAAAGGGGCAGATAAAATACTAGTATGACTTAGAATGTTTATCTAGTACATCATGGGGCATATATGTCACCTCATAAGAGACATGATCAAATCTGGTAAGAAACACATGAAACCATGTCACTCTCACAAGTCTCCCAAATGTAAAAAAAAAATAAATAAAAAATCAGGAACTAAGCTGAGAATTGGAACTTCATCTGTCACTTTCGTGAAAATACAAAATCCATTCACTTCCAACATAGCACAAGTACATCCCCAAGATATCTCCTTGGGAGAAGTCCCATATATACTACTAGGGGCTTCTCAGTGATATCAAAATATCTGGGTGCCTTCCTTTCTGAAACAGACTCATTTCCTGCCATACAGGACAACCCTTTATTTTTTAGGGTTGTTTTGTGTGATGTTCTTAGACTGAAGGTGTCTAAAAGACATCTCTAAGAAGTCCTGAAGACATCCCTTTCAAGATGACAGAAACCATCCAACTCAAGATGTCCTTAAAATATCCCATAAAGACCTTGGGACAAGTCATCCAGTTTGGGACTTGGAATGTCACCATGCTGTGTGGGTATGACCGTACCATATAAGTTGTATGCTGTACCTTATGCATATGTGATATATTTTGTTATGAAAGCATGCACACGAAGATGCATATACAATAAATAAAAGTCATTCATAAAAATCATATGCCTAAACCAGCTGAGCAAATGCTGGAGCTCATCCCTCAAAGCACAGGATTATTTTAAATAGAGTATATATGCTGCCTGGGTATGTTTAATATATGAATGATCCTGATATGGATCAAATGCTTCAACCATATATGCCCTCGTGTGTTCATATTCCAGTACATTAATTTATTAGGCACAGATAATTGCATAACTGCCATGTATGATTTTTCCACATGGGAAGTTAACATTTCTGGTGTTATCTGAAACCATTCCCATAAATCTATAGGTAGAAAGGCATATTTCACAAAATAAGAAAGAGGGGGGGGGGGGTTTGGTTATGATGCAATGGAGGGAGGTAACCCTGATTCATGCAAGCATCCATACAACAATGTGTTTTGGCAGTGTTTCAATCTGTGTGCTGCTAGGATTGAGGTTTGCAAGGGAGAAAAATATGACAAATCTTTTTCCTTTTCCATTATGTAGCAATCAAGGGGTGAAATAAATTGAAGTGTGCCACCAGTCAAGACAGGTTGGGAACCAGTGTGCTTTGGATAGAGAGGGAATGTAAGAAATTTCTGCCATTCTGTCATGCCTATGCTCCTGCTTCAGGCTTTATATGAATGGTTGAGTAATAGTGCAAGGATGAATGAAAGGGATTGAAATTTAGATAGGAAATATCTGAATGCACAAGGTTTAAAGGGAGGAATGAAGTGTTCCCAAATATAAATGACAGGAATATAAACATAGCCTTCACAGTTGAAGCACATGTAATTTACAAAAGCCTAAAGTACCACTCAGAATATATTCTTCAATAAACCTGAACTATGTTTTTGTAAAAGTTTTTGTTGGGCTTTTTTGAGCTCTGTTTCTCATGTGTCTCTCACACCAATATATTGATGGGGTGGTAGAAGTACTGGTTACTGCTAGTTGAGCCATTGTCAGTTGTTCAAGTTCAGACAGCATTCATAAGTGTACTGAATATAAATTTAAATATTTTTCTGTATGTATGGCATGCCTGCATGTTATGTACACAACAGCAGCAGGTTCCTCACACAATGACTCTTGACTTGCTGCCGGTCTGGTTTGGGTGCCAAAGTGGAAAGTATAAAAGCATTTATGATGGGGAAAAGAGTTATTTTATTGAATCTTTGGCTTCAAAAAAACCACACTTAAACCTCTAATCAATCCAAGAGTGGGTCAATTTCAGAACTACTGCTCCAGATGCTTCTCAGATTAACTTGCCAGTGCATAGGCTTTGGGCAATGTGGCTGTGACATGATTGGCCTAAGAGTAGAATCATGTTGTAATGTTTTGGTTATTTTCTGTGCTCTCCTCTCCCTTTACTTCCCACCTTGGCAGAAACAAAGTCTCAAAAGGTAAATTCTTTAATTTTGGCTAATTTGGAAATGCATTAAAGTGCCGAAAAACACGGGGGTCCCAGAAGGAACTTGAATTACATCATACAACAATGAAAAATTTTAATAGGAATCTGAACACCAGCACATGAAGGCAACCTCCATGCCCATTCAAATTGAGAAACCATTGATCTCATTAGCAAAAGCAAATGAATGGACACCTGGCCTGTTGTTATTTAGAGAGGGGGATATAGGAGGAGAGCTGAATTCATGTAAGTAGTTATATATTGGCAATTCAAACTGTGCAGCAGGGGTCTCAAACTTGTTTCAGTGTTTTGGCTGTATCATCAAGATCGGACCTCTCTACAGGCCAAAGTGAAAAAGTCTGAAGGTTTTTCCTGCTTGTGGAAATTGGGACTTAAAGTTTCTTGGTGTACACAGGTGGGTCGCAGGCCGCATTGAGACCCCTGCTGTATAGGGTTTTTTTTGGTGGACCTGCAGCAACTATCAGTTACCAGAAAAACCAGTCTAAAGGTGTTTATTGACATTTTGATTTCTCTTTAGGCCTTTGTTTGACTCAATGTTTCAGTTAATTCCTTAAGGTGGGATGCTTAGTATGTACTTGTGCCCTGTTGAATTTAAGTCCAATGAATATGCTCATGCCATCTATGTGACTTTTCAGTTATTATTTGTCATTCATCATACTGCTTACCCTTTCATGACAGGTCAAGGCTTATCATATTGGAACTATGAACTTTCCTAGTATAGGGTCTGGCTATATAGACATAAGTTAAGCCTGTATGCTATTTAGAAGTGGTAAGAGGTCAAATGTGGCATGGCTTTCATTTTGTCATCAGGTAGGCCTAAGTGGATTGGTGATGTGAATATACACGGATCTAAGGCAGTGTGGCGAAACATGCCATTTGAAGCAATGGAAGAAGGTTCAGTATACCCTGAAAGTGAAAGTGAACACAAGCTTTCCCCAGAAGAAATCCTTAGCCAAAGGACAAGTACCATAAAAATCCCATCCCCTGCTTCCCCCAGTTCAAAGGAAGACCATAACACATGGTCTAGGTGTGAGAGAGCAAGAAAACTGGAATCGTCTTGCTTCCCCGGTCGAGGAAATGATCTGGTACGTTCATGCTTACTAGTTTTATGGCATTGTTAGAGTTCTTCGTAGTTCTTTTCTGTAATATATTGGGAATGTTTTTAGAACAAAACCGTTTTCACTTGCTATATTACTAGGCTTAAGTCCTATGTTTATTTGTTTCACAAGTGCTCATGACTAAGTGGATTTTCATGCTAATACATATTTTTTCTGCAGCCTTGTAGGAATTTGCAACTCAGATAGATAGAAGCACATTATCAGTAGAGGAAGCATTGATGCCATATTAAAAATGCATATTTTGGTGTTTTCCTCAGAATATGCATATTTACACACACATATATGCTTATTTATTTGCATACTTTAGGACTTATCAATGCATAAAAATCCAACTCTGCTCTTAACCTCATTTCTTTCACTGGAGATCATTATTCAGAGATCTGTCTAGCCTATGTGAGCTTAGACCAACAGTAATGCTTCTCAAACTGTCAAAGCACATGTCAAATGAACTTTTAACGGCCATAATTTGGAGACTCTACATCACTGTGGATGTGGGCCTAGTCATATATATTTTAACAAGGGAATGGTACATGCAGTGAAACCAACAGGAAACTGATTGATTTGTCTAGCTCACTGAGTTCCCCCCAAAATTGCACTTGAATTCTAAGCAACTTATAATTTCCTGCATAAATCTGGGAATGTAGCCAGTCAGGTCAAGGGAAGGAGGATATTTTGCCAGAATAAATTTTCTCAGAAGTCTCATTTACTTGGTATTTCCAACACAATCATCTTGGTCAGTGTGCAACATGATGAGAGTAATGAAGAATGAAGTCTAGATGTATAATTGAATTCATTGCTAGATCCCATTTAAAATAGTTATGTTAAGTCAAGAGTATAGCTCATGAAATAGAGTAATTCAATAAATGAAGGAATGGTAACAGAAGAAAGGAATACTTTTTTGTCACTTAGCAACTCATGTAGCAGATATGACAGAAGTAGCAGGTCTAAGACAGCTCAGTGACATTCCAGTAGAAGGTTCCATCAACCCACTCAATGAATAAATTGTCTTAGGCCATGGAATGCTGGATAGTGAAAATGTTGATTCTTTACATCTCCATGTTATTTATGTGCTTTTTTGACAGATGTTCCAACTGCATGTAGGAAATGTCTTCACTGTTGATAAAATTACACCTGTTATAGATGGGATAATGTATCCATCTAAGAAAAAATTCCTGTTAACACTTCTTGGCCTCCTCAAGATTAATGGGTAATCGTATGAGGTATGACCTACCTATGGTCTGTGACCTACTACAGCACATTGGAAATTAACTGTGACTTACACAGTTTGCATGAAATCAAATACACCCTTTTTTAACACGATTTTATTTTCCAAAGCTACTTAGGCCTGCAAATTTTGTCATTTGACTATCGTCAGGTTTCACATTAGATTAATCAGTGAACATAGACTTGACGTCCCTAATGAATACCTCGAACCTGTTGTTTGTGGGGTTGAGACCACACCACCAAGCCTCAATGAGGTGTCTTAGCAGAAGCTCGAGCATCGTCCCATGCATTTTTTTAGTTTGATCTTGCAAAATTCCCTGTTCACAGAGTCAGTTAACTGCACTCTCCTCACTACTGATTATTGAGTAGAAATCTCGACCGCATCGCGGCATCTACTGCTGCTGATAGAGCAAAGTGCCTCTATCTACCCCTATAAGCATGCTGTGGCAGATCCAAGGGGGGGGGACTGCCCCCCCCCCCCCTATGTCCAGGTTTGCTTTCTATTTTTTTAGTTTAAAAGACACCTACATTAATCTTTATTGGGGTCAGTGAAGTAGATATCCAAGTTTTTACCCCAGAGGGAAAATGAAAATAGCGGTAGGATGGAGAGTGGTGGTAGGTTGAGGGGAGGGGGGTTGTTAGAACTAGGGAATCCCCCTCCCTTTCTGTATCCACCACTGTATGCATGTGACCCCACCCATGCTTCTCATTCAGTGACACTGACAGGCATATTGGGGGCATATTTGGGGAGAGGGGGGGAGGTCGAGTCTGGGTTGACTGTTGACCCCCTACCCCCAAAAATTAACCTCCCAATATGCCTGTCAGGTCATCACGCAGTGTTGTCGTTATAGTAAAGTGTAAGACACCACCCCACATGGTAGTCACACCTCATACCCAAAGAGCTGTGGTAGGTCACACCTCCTATGATTACCACACAAGCTGAGGACTCTGTAGAAAAGCAGTTTTTTTATTTCTTTTTCTGCAAATCTTTGTCCTTCATTTGTTGAGTTTACATTATCTATAGAGCTCTATAAGAAAACTCCTGGGAAATATGCTTTCTTTTTTTTTTCCCTCTGTAAGCTACTCTTAAGTAGTGAGAAAGAGGTGCCCTCTATTTCATAATTAGGTGGAATTTCGTTTGGAACAAATGGTGTATTGGTTTTCTATTTCCTTCTATACAGGATGTGAAGCCCCCCAAAAGGCGCAGAACTGTGGAAGATTTTTATGCCTTCTGTAGCTATATCCTGGAATATGAGAATTATCCAGCCATGAAGAATGAGGAGGTAAGTGATGTGAGTTGTTTTTGCTGGTTATTAGTGAACATTAGACTAAGATTATTCATGCATGTTATACTTGACTGCCCCTAGAATTAAAAAAGATCATTTTAGGCTTTCCAAAAAAGCACAGATCCATGTTCATAAATCTTTTTAAAAGTTTGAGGCAGACATGATCATATGGCATTCCATATCACTGTCCAGGACATACTATGTCATTCAGTTATGTGGAATACCATATCCAAGGTTCAGGTCGTTCATCTAAAGCAATCCTTGTTGCTGTTTAAAGGCTCCTTTTGTTGCCTGCTGGGCTATGGGCTGAATTTGAAGGAAAAATCATTACTTGAATGTTGGTACCATGCATGAATATGTTCCTATGTGTCAAGTATAAATTTTCTCATGGGAGTCCTATCTCGGCTGAAATGAGGGGGAGAGTCTAGCCTCTTTCCTAAAAAGAAAAATTGTAAAATCTTTTCAAAGGCCTGGAGTATTACAGCTTCATTTCCCATGGGTCTTGCAGAATGTTGCATAAAATGAACTGTGTTTCAATTTGCATCAGAAGAAACCTCTATCAAACCTCCTAGGACTAGGAGAGCCCATTTTTTTATTTCATCAACTAAATTGCAGTGAATGCTCTGCTTCTGCAGAGGTGACTCAACTCATTCAAAGGGTTGGGCAAAAGTCACACCCCATAGGTAGGGGAATGGTTGAACACATTAACTGCCAACTCTGATAATCTCCTGGCTGGGGCTTGCCAGGAGTCTTGCCTCATATTGCATCAACCTTCCAAGCTACAGGGTTACAATGCTAAGGAAAAATGAATGGATCACTTGTCCAGTTAACTGGACATGGGCAGTTAATGTTTTAATCGTGCATGTTGTAAAGGCAAGTTATGCCTGCACATAACCCTTCGATGAGTATCTAAACTCTTTCTTTATTGGTGTGCTTTCATTTGCATCTCTCAGATTGACCTGTAAGGATAGAAACATAAAGCTGCTTAATCACTTTTTCCCCTAATATTGTACAACAGGAAAGAAAATGAACCAAACCAAAGAAGTTCAGTATATCCTGCCTAAAAGGCATCATTTCAGATCAGAGTAAATAAATCACTTCCCTCTTGTTTTCAATTGTACTTTGAGAAATCCAAATATGCACATATTTGACAAATGTTTATCTTGTTTATCTTATTATCTTTGTCCTCATTTCAGAAAATGCATGTAGGTGTCAGTGGGGAGGAAAAAAGAAAAGGAGTTACCCCTTCAGGATTTTTTTATTTCCAGATCTCATAGAGTGAATGGCTCAGATGAGGTATTCCTCATGAACAACTGGATTGACTGAAATTAGAGCTTTGAGTTTCTCTTATTTTTGGAAGGCTGGCTTGAGAAGGGTCTGCTCAGTTATTCTAAAATAGAATTAATATTGTCTTTTTTTCATATCCAAAGACTAATAGTTTCTGGTTGTTACACAATGAGTTTAAGATTCACATTAAATTAGCCTTTATTGTTGGCTAATCAGTACTTTAACTTGGTTTAAGTTACAATGAAGCATTCCTTAGAGAATGTGTCTTTCATGTTTTATTACTTGCAGCAGTTCAATTTTAAGATTCATCTATTGTTTCAGATGAAACAAAATAGCCCATCTGGAAGCACAGGAAGCTTGGGCACTGACACATCATATGATAGCACCGAGAGTGGTAGTAGTCATGGCAGCTCAACATCTTCCAGTCCCCCTCAGCCCCGAGCCAGACGGAGCCAGCGCATGCAGAAACCCAAAAAATCCCCCTCTTCTGGCAATGGAGAATCTGGTATGTTCTGGTATTTATTGCAAATAGGAGATTAACTGGACTTTGTATCTATGCTAAACATACTTTGTGCCTTTTCACAGATGAGGAAGATGATCATGACCTGGTGACGTGCTACTGCAAGAAACCCTATGCCGGGAGACCGATGATTGAATGTAGCAAATGCTCTACGTGGGTTCATCTCAGCTGTGCGAAAATCCGCAAGAGCAACATCCCTGAAATATTCCTGTGTTACAAATGCAAGGAACCGAAGCACGAGGAAAGGCAACGGAAAGAGTGGAATTGAGGCATGCAGGACGAGGAATGTGGGTGCCATCTCGTCGTCTCAGGTTGCATCAAGTACAAATGGACCATAACCGTGGGAGGGAGAGAGGGACAAGGCTGTTCTAGTCTTCACCTCAAGCATCCTGGTGCAATATGTTGATATAAAGTTGCCAGTGTTTACCACAAAGCAGATGGGGTTGAGTTTGATGGCCTGCTATGGGTCTGGATTTTGAAGTGCATATTGCTCAGATCTGATTCAATTGATGGGGGTATTTGGCAGTTGGAGACCTTCCTCTTGCTTTTCTTTTACCTTGAAAGATGAAGAATGACAATTTTTTTGTTTATCCCAAGATGTCATGAATGATATTCATGTCACGGGAAGTCAGGCACTTTTTCACTTGCCGTGTTCCGGTTGTGGTTGGGAGAGAAAAATATGCTTTCATTAATTCCCTCTCTTAGGTAGGCTTCACTTGCATGCAAAGAGGGAGAATGAGTGCTGTGCACTCCTCCCAATTTTCTATATGCTTAGTCATCCGAGAAAATTATTGAGCCAAGATGATTTTTTCAAATAAAAGAACTTGAAGCACCAAGGTTCACCTTTATTATACATTTTTCCTGCCTACTTGTCTAAACAGGATTGTTTTTGACTGTCTTCTTGTATATTTGAGCTTGCTCGGACTGCCTTGTCAGTTTTACCTGACTTGGACTTCCTGAACAGCAGGAGATGTGGCTCTGAAATGGATAATAATTCAATGAATAATGATCCCCATGCTTTCCTGTTTACATATTTGCATAAGTTTTCATTGGATCCCTGTTGATGAAAATATGTTGGGTTATTCCATCAAAAGTCATAGCAGGGAGATTTGTTCAATTAACCAATAGCAATCAGATTACCTTCAATACAAAGTAAATTAACAGGGTTTAAGATTAATTTCAGAAGAAATGCAGGATTGGCCTTGGCAAAATTGAACTTTCACAAGGATGTTTTTTTTTTTTTTTTATTATCCTGGAGGTCCATTTCCTTTTGCTTCCTGGTGAGTATAACATAAATGTTCAAACAGAACAAACCATCATGAGAATGTAACAAATCCTAAGCCTATTTTTCAGTCTTAAGTATTCCCATGGAAAATCAATCAATATGTTGTCACTTACACCTTGACCACATGCTTACAAGCATCCAAAGGGAGTACTTAGTGATCAAATTCTGCACTGTAGCTTGCTTGCATGCTTTCCATGTTATGGATATTTTACTTTCAAGCAAGAGAGAAAAAAAAAAGGGTTAAGCATCATAGCCCAGTTCAATAGCAGGCTACAATTGAGTTGAGGGTTATGCAAAGAATGCCTAGCTGTGGATGCTATGGAATTGTAATTTTCATTTGTATTTCATAGACAGATAAACAAAAGTAGTAAATAACTTTCTTGTACCTCTGCTCCTGTTCTCAAAGAACTCACAGTCCTGTATTCCAAGTTTTAAGTATAGGCATTCATTTGTTGACAAAACCTTTCACATGTAATCACTGGTGTAGGTAATTGATTTCCTACCTAGGCCTATAGGTTGATCTACTGTCAACTCTTGTTTCACCACGACTTTATAAAGTGCCACCCTCATTTATTGCCAACCATTTCTTGTGGACATATATCCCCATGGGCCTCTGTAATATTTTAATAGTTGTTATAAATAATTTAACAATTAATAGTTGTTATAAATAATTTGATACTGCACCAAATTTGGCAATGACCAATGGGTATTATATTAAGGGTTGACTATTTTGTTTCCATATGACCAGGAAATCAATGCTTCTGCAGGTAAACTTCTTATGGTATTTGATGCACTCCTGAGACATTCATGTCCTGTACAGGTCATGTTGAGTAGTTCCAGTCCTACTTTAGTTATTGTTCAAAACTACCCTCTTACTCCTCTACATGTGAAAAACAGGAAGGGAATAGATATGGCATGAACACCAAAATTGGTCAAAAAAAAGTAAACTTAAGGGCAAAATGCTTGAAGTGAATTCAACAATATGGAAAGTTAAACAACACCATGCCTGACAAATTCTAAAAAGGTCTAGTCTAAAAAAAGCAGGACTTACTAACATTCTTGGGCAGGGATTTGGAATCCCATAAGAGAATTGTTATAGCACTGTAGGCTCCTATGTAATGACATATGATGGGCATATATAAAGCATCAAACTTTTCCTGTGGTCATTTGCATTGTATAGTTCAAAGCTGCAAGTGATGAAACACCAATGCAACTCCAGATACCACAACAAATTCAAGACTTTTCTCCTTTCTCTACAATCTAAATAAATTTCACTGTCTTATTTGGGGGTTTTCCCTATAGTAAGAAATGGTATGGTGGGTGAAAAGGTGACTCAAAACTACAAGCATGACCTTGATACAGACTGATTTTAAAATCTATCTGAATTAATGTGACTTGAAAACATCAACGCTGCCATAGAAATGTTTTTCTCATTATCAAAGGTCTACCTCAACTTGAAAAACTATTCACTTGTGTTGGTGAGGAAGTATTATGCTAAGCAAAGGTTCAGAGTCTTTTCAAAGTGCTTTTCTACACATGAAATCAATTCATTTCTTAGGTTTCATAACTGAGCAAATGAGCTGACATTTTTTTTATTATTATCAAAATATAGATTTTGCTTGCAGTGGTAGAGATGAAGGGCAACCATGATGATGAGCTAGAGCTTCAAATCAAAACTATCTGAAGCTGCAGATATTAGGATGCTCTGTCATCAGTAGGCCTACCTGGACCATGGAGCATGTAATGCATCCAGTTAGGTGACTGCATAACTCCAAGGTTTCTCCATTCTGTCTCCGTCAGAAGATGATTGCGGGGTATACTTTTCACCTTGTCAGATGGAACTGCAACGTGTCTGAAAGACCATAGTACACATAAGTGTCTTGATGTAGCCCTCCCCCCTGATTACTGAGGATTTAAGAATCATTCAAGACTTATGAGAAGATTAAGGGATAGGGGAAAGTGGGAATGATCTGGATGGAATATGGAATAGCAGCCTTTGAGTTTGTTACTGTTATGTTACTATAGATGAAGGGAGAGAAGAGTTGGGAATAGGCATGGCAAAAAGACCTCTCTGGGTACTGCTGATCATAAAACAATTAAAGGAATTCTGTTCTTCGAGACATGTTTGCACTTCAGTCTCAAAGTGTAAAAATGGCAAGAAGAATAAGATGAAGCTGGCGTATGCTTGGCCTACATGAAAAAAAAAGAGTTTGATGTGGATGCTGCGACTATCGGCAATAAGAAATGGCGAGTGAAAATAGGCGGACAGTTTTGGGGGCAGAAGCGTCACCATTAACTTTTTCCTTCCAATAAAGTAATTTCAACCTTTACCACCTGAATTCGACAAGCTTGCCTTTGAATGAATAATTTCACAACAGCAGTAAGACTTTTTCGACGTTTTGAAGTCAAGCTAAAAATGTTTGAACTCGAAAGAAAACCACTCTCGTCTTTGACCCTACGGTGATGCTCACCTATATTCATATTTGTCGTCATAGTACTTTTCCGAGTATAGGAACTCTTTGCGAGGTCCTGACATTACTTAGATGAAAACCCAATGGCCGAGGAGAGAGAAATAACCAAGTTTTGAGTAAAGGTGAGAGTATTAGTCTCGTGGCACACCGCCTGTCAGTGCGCACAAATTGTTTCTTTCTTCTGATTGGCCGTCGGATTTTCCCGGTTGCAGTGGTGTCAGATATTCTCTGTATTTCTAAGGAAATTTTTTCTTCATTATCCATGTATTTCGTATTTTCCTTTCAGCAGTCATGAATTCTCCATGTCATATTATTTCCCATTTAATTCCAGACTGACAAAATTAAGACGATAAAACTGGATAGGAATTAGGAAAAGAAAGCGAAGGATCTCGTGTGAGCAGCCTGATCCATATGGCCAGCTAGCTCAACCTCTTACGGCGGGGTTGCTTGAGGGATGAGGATGGCCTGACCTGGGCTGAATAAATTTTCGTCTAGTCCTACTATGTAAGTTTTCTTCAGCCTTACAATGTATGATGTTTTTATCTGTACCAAAAACATTTTTGACGATCACGTTTTTTCTTGTGGTTGAGAAATACTATGAAAAAGTTATCCTTTCATTTTGGTTTTTCCATTATATTGTAATATTTTTCGATGCAAAGCAGAGCGTGCCATATCTGGTAAACCATGCAGTATAGGGGTGAGGTTGAAGCTTGTTCGTGTAAGATTTGAACCGTAAACGTTGTTATGTATGTTCTTAGGACCTCTGTCAAGGTCGAATTTATATCCACTGCATCAATCTTATTTTATCAGTAAAGCACATGCCCAAGGCAATGATGTAGGCTTCCGTGGCAGCAGCACAGGAATGCTTTTTAGTCTCTTTGAATTTAAAATGGAAATCTCGTTTTCGAAAATCAGACCTGCATTATCTCATTGTGCAAGGAGCACTAAAGATTTTCCCATGAAGCTTTTTCTGTTGTTTTCCACAAGTGAGTGCTATCTTGCCCAGATGGCCTTGGACAGATGGAAGGTGCAACTTTTAATTAATTAGTAACTGTCTTCAAGATGTATGAAGATTGCGTTTGACATTTTGTTGTATGGAGCTGGATGATAGGCTTAACTTTAAAATCTGTTACTGTGTCCTTTATTGTAGGCTTTGGTCTTTTTTGTCATTTAATGAATGAAGATAGGTTTGGGTGTGTATAAATGAAGAATCGCATTCTTCCATCTCTGCATAGAACAATTGAGTGCTTCAGGTTTAGCTAATCTGACTGGAACATGACAAAGTGCTATATGAGTTAAGGCACTTCCTAAACTTTATATCACCTACCTCAAAGTAAGGGCTTGCTCATGTGCAGTTGCGTAGCCAGGATTTTGCTGATGGGGGTTTACTTTTCCTAGCCTGGGAGAAGGGGAGGGGCTTGAACCAAACTTGGCTATGCCATTGCTCATGCATTCCTAATATGACATTGAAATAGCTTAATTTTATTATCAGAAATGTCCAAAATTTATTGTGCCTTTAATGTTGAGAGCCACTTAAAATATATTCTAGATGGGTTGACATGCTGAACTTTGTGTTACATTGTGAAACTACCCTTTACCCACTGTCATAACACATTTCCTGAGGAGCTTATAGAAAGAGGATTCAAATTTTGGCCATTACTTATGCCCATTTTGTGCCTGATTTGATTTTGTCTCATGGCAAGCCTTCTTTGTTCACATGGTTACTGTCTAGGCACAATACTTTGCTTACTCTTGGTACACGAATCATGACACGATTGTTTGCAAACACAATCAGCTAATTCCTCTCTTTATTAGAATATCTGCTCCTGAATTCTTCTGAATTTTAAGTGCAGACTAGATGAATTTAGCCTTAGGTTATGCATTTGTCTGCCATTCTCAGTTATACTCAATTTATTCTGTTTGTCTACACTTAAGAGCATCAAGAAACCCTTCAAAATCTGTAGGGAGCAAGATGGTCATCTGGAGTGTTGCATTGAAGTCTACTTGAAGAGAACAGGAGCACAAGGAATCATGTTCAAGACTTTACAGGCTTCCAAGTTAGGTGGGCCTCTGTTACT